TTGCACATAACATGTAAACATTCACAGTGCAGGGAGGAAAAAGTATGTGAGGCCCTAGCTTAATGACTTCTCTCAGAGCTAATTGGAGCCAGGAGTGAGCCAACCTTGACTCCAATCAGTGTGATATATTGGATGTGTTGCTGACAGCGTCCTGCCCTTAAAAAAACACACACCTGTTTTGGGTTTACTGGTTTCAAGAAGCACTGTCTAATGTGAACCATGCCTCGCAGAACAGAGCTCTCAGAAGACCTACGATCAAGAATTGTTGACTTGCATGAAGCTGGAAAGGGTTACAAAAATAATAGTGCTCCAAAAGCCTTGATGTTCATGTGTCCACGGTAAGACAGACTCTCTCTACAAATGGAGAAAGTTTAGCACTGTTGCTACTCTCCCTAGGCTTGGTCATCCTGTAAAAATGACTGCAAGAGCACACAGCGCAGAATGCTGTAATGAGGCAAAGAAGAATCCCAGAGTGTCAGCTAAAGACCTACAGAAATCTCTGGCACATGCTAACATTTTTGTTGACACATCTACAATAAGGAAAACATTAAACAAGAATGGAGTACATGGGAGACACCACGGAGGAAGCCATTGCTGTCCAAAAAGAATATTGCAGCATGTTTGAAGTTTTGCAAAAGAGCAGATTGGATGTCCCACAGCACTACTGGCAAAATATACTGTGGACAGATGAAACCAAGATTGAGTTGTTTAAGGGAAGAACACACAACACTATGTGTGGAGAAAAAAAGCTCTGCACAGCACACCATCAATCAAAACCTGATGCCCACTGTGAAACATGGCGGAGGAGCATCATGGTTTGGGGCTGCTTTGCTGCCTCAGGGCCTGGACGGATTGTTGTCATTGATGGGAAAATGAATTCCAGAGTTTATCAAGACATTTTGCAGGAAAACATACGACCATCTGTCCGCCAACTGAAGCTCCGCAGAGGATGGGTGATGCAACAGGACAATGACCCAAAGCATACAAGTAATTCAACAAAACAATGGCTGCAACAGCACAGAATACGCCTTCTGGAGTGGCCCAGTCAGAGTCCTGACCTCAACCCGATTGAAATGCTGTGGCCCATGACCTTAAGAGAGCGATTCACACCAGACATCCCAAGAAATATTGCTACACACTGTACAAACTGAGTTTTGTGAAGATGAATGGTACCAAAATGACTCCAGATCGAGTGTGCAGGTCTGATCTGCAACTACAGGAAACTTTGGTTGAGGTTATTGCTGCCAAAGGAGGGTCAACCAGTATTGAGTCCAAAGGTTCACATACTTTTTCCTCCCTGCACTGTGAATGTTTACATGTTATGTGCAATTAAACCATGGAACATCTAATGTTTGTGTAGTATTATGTTCAGCAGACTGTGTTCTTCTATTGTTGTGACTTAGATAGATGTTCAGAGCACATTTTATGCCCAATTCATGCAAAACTCCACGTTTAATCCCAAGGGGTTCACATACTTTTTCTTGCAACTGTATATGCTAATTTTTTTGTGCCTACTCGCTAATGCACATCCAGTAGTTACACTATGCACAGAGCTATGGGCCGCAGTATGTGCGCATAAGCCCACACTGGTCTCCTTACAATGAAATAAATCTGTCCTTCCTTGCAGTAACACGTTAATGACCTACTTAGGCCCCATTCACACTTATGCGACACAGGAATGAGTGTGATATTGAACTATCCTATGTATTGGCAGATGCTTTGATGTTCCATTCATTCATGACACAGGAATGAGTGTGATATTGAATCATCCTATGTATTGGCAGATGCATGGCTAAGTTGCACCACAACACCCACAAACTTAAAAAAGGTGCCTGCACTTTTGTGTGCTTGATGTGTGGAGGACAATCCATTAAAATGAATGGGCTGCTCTAAATGTGATGTACCTAAACACACCAAAATACTTCCAAAATATTTTACCACATGTATGTTATGTTATTCTCAGGTTAGCATTGAACTGAAGTTCATATGACACCTCTATGACTCAACGTCCCACTTTATGGTCAGACACTTCCTTTTTCCACTACTGAATAGATTCCCTCTGCAGGGGTTATTTTCCAGATGAGGTATGCCAATGGAAGTTCTCCCCCATTATTTCCCGGAACAAAACTGCTTCCAGGCCAACATCAGAGTCATGTGTTTTGCCATCAACTCTGGAAATGCTCTCTCTGTCTCTTTATTTCTCTTTACTATATTGGACTTGCTCTCCTTGGTGAGATCAGTAAGTGGAACTGCTATAGTAGCAAAGTTAGGCACAAACCTCCAGTAGTAAAATCCTTTAATAAGCTCTGACGTGTTTTTTAATCTGGCTAGTGCCAAATTTTATTTGCATCAATCAAGTCTATTTGAATCTTTAAAACCCTCTCTACAATGCTTTAGTCCAGGTTCTGGGCTTCTTCCAGGCCTATTGCACTTGTTTTTGATAGGCTCTTAACTCAAACTTATGGATGAAATCTAAAATTACCTAAACCTTCTGTAGATGGGAATCTTAGTCAAGACTAAAACTAGCAACATCATCTAGATACAATGAAGCATGTGCTCTGTGGTGCTTAAAGTATATGTGATCCTTTACATTGTAAAAAATCTAATCAGTTTAAAATAGAAATGCCAGGCAAAAACATTTACATATACTGATATGGACTGGGGAATGTGTTACAAACGTGAGGATGCCCCATTGTTTGATGGAAATGAAAATTATCAACTTACAGAGAACTGAATTCAATAACACCATGAAAATTGAAGTGAAAAAATGATACAGCATGCTAATCCATTTTGCTGAAATTTCATTGCAACAACAAATGGTAGTTTGTATGGTCCCCATGTGCTTGTATGCATGCCTGACATTGTTGGGGCATGCTCCTAATGAGATGACGGATGGTGTCCTGGGATATTTCCTCCCAGATTTGGACCAGGGCATCACTGAGCTCCTGGACAGTCTGAGGTGCAATTTGTGGTGTCGAATGAACTGAAACTTGATATCCCAAAGCTATTCTATTGGATTTAGGTCAGGCAAGCTTGGGGGCCATTCAATGGTATCAATTCCTTCATCCTCCAGGAATTGCCTGCATACTCTCGCCACATGAGGCCGGGCATTGTCTTGCACCAGGAGGAACCCAGGACACACTACACCAGCATAGAGTCTGATAATGGGTCCAAGGATTTCATTGCAAATACCTAATGGCAGTCAGGGTTCCATTATCTAGCCTGTAGAGGTGTGTACGTCCCTCTCTGGATATGCCTCCCCAGACCATCACTGACCCACCACCAAAATGGTCATGTCGCACGATATTACAGGTAGCATAACATTCTCCACGGCTTCTCCAGACCCTTTCACGTCTGTCACATGTGCTCAGGGTGAATCTTCTCTCAATTCTAAAAAGCACAGGGAAACCAGTGGCAAACCTGCCAATTCTGGTGTTCAATGGCAAATGCCAATCAAACTCTATGGTGTCGGGCAGTGAGCACAGGGTCCACTAGAGGAAGTCGAGTCCTCAGGCCACCCTCATGAAGTCTATTTCTGATTGTTTGGTGAAAGACATTCACACCAGTGACCTGCTGGAGGTCATTTTGTAGGGCTCTGGCAGTGCTCAGCCTGTTCTTCCTTGCACAAAGGAGCAGATACTGGTCCTGCTGATGAGTTAAAGGACCTTCTAAGGCCCTGTCCAGCGATTTATGGCCGGGACACAGTGATCGGTGGAGCGGCTGACAGGGGAGAGATCTGTGAGTGTAAACAACACAGATCTCTCTCCTGTCAGCAGGGACATGCTGCTTATCTTTCTGCAAAGCAGAGAGATAAAAAGCAGCACATCTCCTAATAAAACACAACATAGTACACATTAATCACACTCCCTATCACACAGTTAACCCTTTGATCACCCCAGTGTCATTAGTAGTGTCAGTGATTTGTATTATCAATTTGAGATGTCAGTGGCAGTTAATCATCAGTTCCCACCCAGTGTCATTTAGTGTCAGATTGCCCACCACAGTTGTTGATAAGTCGCTGATCGCCACTATTACTAGTATAAAAAAAATTCCGGTGTATATATACAGCCATTTGTAGATGCTATGACTTTTCTTGCAAGCCAATCAATATAAACTTATTTTTTTTTTACCAAGGACATGTAGCAGAATACATTTTGGCCTACATTTATGAAGGAATTTTATTTTTTATTGGATATGTTTTATAGCAAAAAGTAAAAAAAAAATTGTTTTTTTTTTTGTAAACGTTCAGTCTTTTTTAATTTATAGCGCAAAAAAGAAAACACCCAGTGATGATAAAATAGCAGCAAAAGAAAGCTCCATTTGTGTGAAAAAATTATATAAATTTAATTTGTGTACAGTGTTGCATGACCACACAATTGTCAGTTAAAATAGTGCAGCGCCGCATAGCAAAAATGGCCTGGACATGAAGGGAGGTAAATCTTCCAGAGGGCAAGTGGTTAATATCATATAACGCCATGTCCTATACATATATTAGTAAAATTTGTGCATACCATGCAAAAAGAATACCAAAATTCATAAACCATACAATATAACTGAGCCCTTTAAATGTAATATATTTATATGCAAAAAAAAAGAGTCCTTCTATTGTGTGTGGTTGTCCTCCCATCCAACGATAAAAGTGTGCTAATCTTGCATTTAATCTGTAATCATTGTCACCAAAAATATATAAATCCTCCATCGACATACATATATACTGTCACCTCCTGTGTACGATCTATGAGATTTAAGTCAGATAGCGCTTTTCCCTTTACCCAGGGTTGATACAGCCTCCTGCACACTCCAACCTCCAGTTTCCGATGATAACTCAATCCATTCCCATCTTCTTCATCCATACAGGATATTGCCTATATATTTCAGAAAGAATACACCATCATAGCTATCAAACGTTTCCCACCAGTATTTAATAAAAATTATATTGCACTCACATGAAAAAGTTCCCAGCTAGAGAGCACCACAGTAAAAAGCCTTCTGTTCCCTTAAGACACGGGCGTCAAACTGGCGGCCCTCCAGCTGTTGCCAAACTGCAAGTCACATGAGGCATTGCAAGATTGAAAGATACAAGCATGATTCCCAAAGGCAGAGGCATGATGGGACTTGTAATTTTGCAACAGCTGGAGGGCCACCAGTTTGACACCCCTGTTTTAAGACTTTAGGTTCATCGGCCTGCCCGTATCTTCAATGGCAACTGACAAGAAGTAAAGCTACATCTGATACTTCTCTTTGGATTTTCCTTGCCAGTTATACATGCTACTCATTTATGTTACCCAGCCTGGACTCCCTGTTCTTCATTGACAATGGTACAAAAGAGTGCAATTGCAGTGAATGCCCAAATTGCAGAGACTACTCAACACAATGATGTGAATACAGAACAATTTCCATCTTTTGAAAATCGAATCGATTTGAAAATAACTAATATATGAAACGAATTTGGAAAGCGAATCATTCTACATAACGAATATGATGAAACAAAATTATTAACTTAACGAACAAATCCAAAACGAAACAAAATTTTCCAACATGCACATCTCAATTGGGCTCTGCAGACTTTCTGGTCTTTTTTTTATAGTAATGAATGAGGTTGGTCAAGCAGTAGTGGATGTACAGTACTTGTACCCACTCTCATGACATAATGCTTTATATGCCCTTCAATCCTTTCCCTTGAGATTGAGTAATGTTATACATTAAGATACTGCTTTGGGAATGTTATAGATGGGCCACTCCTATCCTCATATTGATTAGTGGTTCCAAATAATAACTACTGCAGTAGGAAACAGTCAATAAAAAGATACACTCAGCATCTTTCCAAATTATCACTATTATTATTATACAGGATTTATATAGCACCAACAGTTTACACAGTGCTTTACAAAATGAAGGTATACATTACAGTTACAATACAATTTGGTACAAGAGGAAACACTGGGCCCTGCTCGTTAGAGCTTACAATCTAGGAGGAAGGGTTGAGTGATACAAAAGGTAATAGTTGTGGGGGGATGAGCTGATGGATCAAATAAATGGTGGTTTACTAGGTAGAAGCAGGATAGGCTTCTTTAAAGAGAAATTTTTTCAGGGATTGTCTTAAGGTGGATATATTAGGAGATAGCCGAACAGATTGTGATAGGGAGTGCCATAGGATGGGAGAAGCACGGGAGAAGTCCTGGAGGCGAGCATGGGAGGAGGTGACACGGGAACTAGAGAACAGAAGGTCTTGGTAGAATTGAAGAGAGCGGTTGATATTTCGAGACCAGATTAGTGATGTAGCTGGGGGGGAGAGTTGTGGATGGCTTTGTAAGTTGTTGTTATTATTTGAATTTTATTCATTGGGTGAATGGAAGCCAGTGGAGGGATTGGCAGAGAGGGGTAGCAGACACTGAACGGTTGGTAAGATGGATGAGCCTGGCAGCAGATGTACTGGAGGGGGATAGCCTATATAAAGGTAAGCCTTGCTAGGTCTTAGTCTTACACCATAAACTCTCCAGAGCACGGCTAAGTTTTTTTAGGCATCTGGTATTGTCTGTTTGCCAGGGCTGTAGTGGTTGGGGCCTAATTCTGTGTGCAGTGAGGGGGCCAATGTGTCCAGGGTGGATGACAGTGAACTATTATAGACAGAATTGGCCAGGCTGGGGCAGGACAGGGCTGAGATTTTGTCATAGAGACAATCTGTTGCCGAAAAAGGAATAGAAGGGTTAAAATAACGAAGGTTTCTACGGGTAACTGTTGGATAGTTGAAAGACAAGGAGGAGGAAGCCAAGGAGAGAGTGAAGCTAAGAAGGAAGTGATAAGAGAGGGGGGAAAAGGAAAGTTGGTGAGGTTGCAAGGAGTGCATAGGTAGGAGAATACAAGGTTGAGGCAGTTACCATTGGAGTGAGTAGAAGCATGTGTCCTTTGTTTTAGGTCAAAAGAAGTGGTTAGGCTCAGAGGTTTAGAGGTAGCAGGAGTGTTAAGATTAACAGGGATGTTGAAGTCACAAAGAATGATAGTGGGAATTTCAGAAGAGAGAAAGTAAGGCAGCCAGGCAGAGAAGTCATCAAGGAAGCTTGATACCGGTCCAGGAGGCCGATAGATCGCAGCAATTCTTAAAGAAACTGGAGAGAACAGACAAATATAGTGAACTTCAAAGGAGGAGAAGGACAGAGAGGCAGGTGAATGAAGGACCTGAAAAGTGCTTTGAGGAGATAGGAGGATTCCAACTCCACCTCCTTTCCATCCACTAGGCCTGGGAGTGTGAGTCCAGAGGAGACCACCATGGGAGAGGGCAGCAGGAGAGGGAAAGTCAGATTCATGAAGCCAGGTTTCCGTAATTGCAAGCAAGTTAAAAGAGTTTGTGATAAAAAGGTCATGGACAGAGGTGAGTTTGTTACAGACAGAGTGGGCATTCCAGAGGGCACAGGAAAAGGGGAGGCTAGTTCTAGGAAGAAGAGGAATAGTAACTAGATTGTGTGGATTTCGGCTGCTGTTGCAGGATAGGGGGTGTCGGGTGTTTTGATCAAAGGAAAAAGATGGCGGCCCAGGGTTTGGAGAAATGTCTCCAGATGTTAGAAGAAGCAGAAGGGTGAGGGAGGTAATATGGGAGTATGACTTATATGGAGGGACAGGTTCCAGTGTCCTGGAGGTTTTATTAGTGTGTAGGTTCAGAATTAGCAGGAGGTGATGAGTACAGTAGTAAGGTGAAGAAAGGAGTGAGGGCGATATATATAAACTGGGGGGTGGAGAAGAGGGGTGAAGGAGAGAGAAAAAAAAGAAAATATTCCTGCGCCAATACAAAAATCTAGATTGCTGCTGTGCAATTGTGAAAACACACATATAAATGATAAATGTAAATAAAACAGCGCAAAAATAGACCTCTTAAAAAATTGGGCTCACAAATAAATAATGCTCACAAATAAATAATGCTCACAAATCAAAAATGTCCACTCAAAAATAATGAATATCCCATAATAATTATAGATGATTTTCTCCTTCTCCAAAAATGAAATAATATAAACACCAAAGGAACATGTGTGATGAAAACTAATGATTCCAAACAATCTTTAGACCGAAAAACTTCCACCTTCCACCCGTGCACACCAACATCAATTGCACTCACCAGATAATGGTGAATGAGAAGCCTTTAAGGATTTTTGGGATTCTAAACTTTTCGGTCTAAAGATTGTTTGGAATCTTTAGCTTTCATCACACACGTTCCTTTGGTGTTTATATTATTTCATTTTTGGAGAAGGAGAAATCATCTATAATTATTACGTGGGATATTCACTATTTTTGAGTGGACATTTTTGATTTGTGTTTAATTTATTTGTGAGTATTATTTATTTGTGAGCCCAATTTTTTAAGAGGTCTATTTTTGCGCTGTTTTATTTACATTTATCACTGAAGGAGAGAGAGTTTGAAGAGAGAGGACACAACTGTAAGAAGGAGGAGTAGAGTGTGTATGTTACAGAGTGGAGATGAAGCAGACTGGATAAGATGGGGAAAAGGTCACCTGTAGTCTGATTAGTATTTGAAGTTGTCTGCTTCTCGCTTTGTGTATTCGCTGAAGTGCAGAGCCCAAGTGCAATGCTCAATACTTAAGCCAAGATCAATACTTTATCCATGATAATAGTTGCCAATGCTACCCCTAGCTGTGCTGACCCTGGCAGTGCCTCCCCTAAGGAAGGCCTACATTTATACTGAGCTGGGTGGGGGTATTGCCAATTAATTTATTATGAATGCATAGGGACACATGACTAGTAGGGCAAACTTCTCACACCAAAGTAGGACTACAAGAGACAACAAGAGATCAGGAGGGCAGAGTTGTAAAGATTAGGATCAGCTCATAAACATGGGTTAGACAATAAGAGCAAAGTAAACACAACAGTAATATGGACCAGAATTAAAGATTTTTGAAGCAGTAACAATGACCGATAAGAACATTAATAGTTATGAATCAGCTTCAGTTAGATTTGGATTTTAAAAGCAGTATAGACTACCATATAGCAGAGTGGGGTGAATTAGCATTCATACATGGCATGGGCGATATTACAGATGGATATTGCTTGCAGATATTTACCTGTGATGGGATAGAGAAGAGTTATTCAGATGATGCAGAGCCGAAGTGCAATGCTCAATACTTAATCCAAGATCAATACTTTATTCATGATCATAGTTGCCAATGCTACCCCTAGCTGTGCTGCCCGTGGCTGATACACTCAGCATCTTTCCAAATCACTGTTCTGTTTATTTGGTACAATTTAAAATCTTATATATACAGTATATAATTATGTAGGTATCACATTATTATTACGATTGTATTGTTATGGTAACAAGGGACATTACATAGGCAGGCTAATTTCTAATCAGGATTTGAAAAAATGTAAACATGTAATGAAAACATTATAGTTCCGGTGTGCAATGAGTGCAGTGTGCAATACATATGCATAGCATACAAATACAGTTTTATACAGAATTTAAATATTTCTTTTACAGATACCTAGTTCTGCAGGTATCGCTATAACTGCTATGGGAATGTATCAGCCAGTTAAGTATTTTGTCTATTCACTGGTTCTTATTTGCCAATATTGAGGAAGCAATTTTTATTGATATAATTTAAAGGATAAGTTCACCTTTGGGAACATGTTACACGTTGCACCCGTCTCTGGGTGGAACATGTAACATGTTCCCAAGCTGCAGCTGCTCCCTGATTCCCCCTCCCCCCACCTCCCTTTGACAGCAGTACAGGGGGAAGTTCTCCATACTAGCTGTCACTCTTTGAAAACTGCACAGCCGTGCGGGGCTCTGCCCACACGGCCACATCATTCATTCACAGAGTTCTGTAAATGAATGAACAACAATTCCCAACAGGCTTTGCGAATGTCGGCTTGTAGTTCTTAATCAACTACCATAGTTCTGTTGAGCACTGTGGTAGTTCATTGAGTCTTCCTGGCAGACTGTATCGGAATGTACAGGTACACAGATACACTGTGACAGTTTGAAGGAGCCTGCATGGCACCAGCGATCTGCTGATCATTGGTGCAATGCTTTCCAGGCTGCAAACAAAAACCTGCAAAAAATTAGCTTTTTTTTTTTTTTTAAGTGAATTTATCCTTTAAACATAATTTTTTCTTTGTAAATGTCAGTTTTTCTGTAGTAAGTTGTATACATCATACAGATGCACCACTCCACAGTCAAGCTAGGGGCATCATCCAGGGATGTCATTTGAAGAAATTGTGCATTTTTAGTGCTTCACTTTAAGCATTATTAAAATCACTGCTTCCTGTCAAAGATAATTTTTTCTTTTTTATGCTTTGGTACATATTCCCCAGGGCAGTGTCTAGCACCCTTGTGTAATTTGTTTGAGACCTTCAATCTCTGGGTCTAAATACCAGTACACTAATACATTCAAACTCATTGCTATGGACTATGGATGATCTTAATCCTAACAGCTGGTAAACGTTTTGATTTTCTCTACATGCAGTATCTGTGTGCAGTCTTGTGTAATCCAATGATGTTGATAATCTACACTGATTTTACTTTTTTTTTGTAGCTTTTCTCTATCTAATTGTGCTTAAAAATCTCCATTAATAAAAGTATTACAAATAAATTAAAAAAAAATCTGCTAAAAATGAAAATCCTCAATGGCAAAAATGTAAACCATTTTATTTAACCAGAAGTCTTATATAACAAGAACAAGACTCTACAGCAGGGGTGTCAAACTGGTGGCCATCCAGCTGTTGCGAATCTACAAGTCCCATCTTGCCTCTGCCTTTGGGAGTCATGCTTGTAACTGTCAATCTTGCAATGCCTCATGGGACTTGTAGTTTGGCAACAGCTGGAGGGTCGCCAATTTGACACCCATGCTCTACAGAGAAGTGGCGAAGTAAAATATTATACTACTACTAGTTAAAACAATTTTCGCTCATTTTATAGTGTAGGAACCATGCCCGAAGTAGGAATGTCCCTAACTTAAACTTAAAGTGGTTCTAAAGGCTCTTGGTTTTGTACCTTTCTATGCATAAAGTTAAAAAACCTTCTCTGTGCAGCATCTCTTCCAGCCCCCCTAATACTCACCTATCTTCCTCTCGATCCAGCGATGTGCACTGGATCTATCTCGGGATTCCCTCTACTCATTGACAGAGACAGAAGTGGGAGCCATTGTCTCCCACTGCTGTCAATCACAGCTAGTGAGCCAATGAGAATAGAGGGGGTGGGGCCAAGCTGCGGCTCCGTGTGTGAATGGACACAAGAGCAAAAGATTCCCCCATAGCAAGCTGCTTGCTGTGGGAGCACCCAGTAGAAGGGAAGGGCCAGGAACGATGGCGGGGGGGCCCAAGAAGAGAAGGATATGGGCTGCTCTGTGCAAAACCACTGCACACAGCAGGTAAGTATAGACATGTTTAGAATCACTTTAAATTTTTTGCAGCTAGGCTGTAGCCAGCCTAAGCTCTGAACTGTTAAAGTCCTGTTTTTGTTGGGTTTCCCCTAAGTTCAGCTTATTGCTTGCTTCTACCTGTGTTGATGGGTTGTCTCGGAAATGCTGCAGAGGGATACAATGCTGAATAGGTATGAATATATACAGTATGTCTATGGTTTTTTTTGGCTTGTTTTTGTTTTGTTGTTTTTTGCTTTTTTTTACTAGGAGGTTTATTGTCAGTGGTTTATGCTAGAGAGGGATATGCATGTTTGGGGTGACCTTCCAGAAAGGTCTTTGCTTGGGGAGGATATTGTGCTAGAGGTCTTTTACCTGCTGCCCTGGGAAGGTTGTTGCTGAACTAGGGGCCTGAATCTGGGGCCTGAAAGGTCTACACTGCCTTTCTAAAGTGTAGATACAGGAGGCATGAAGCTGGAGACTTTGATAGAGCTCCAGAGGAAGCAACTTCACTGCTAAAGAGAGTCCTGGAGAGTTGGGTACCAGCTTCTGGCAGTGGATATTACAAGAAAGCTGTAGGCTCAAATGAAAAGGTGTTTGTGCCTGTTGAAACTTCCCCCACAGTCTGAAAACTACAAGTTGCTGGTCTTGGCTTAAAGGTTCTTATTTCTGTATTGAGTTCTGTATTGCTAGCACAGGTCCCTGGTGTCATTCGTAGTTGCATTTTAGTTAACCTGTGCCTTAACCCTCACTCCTGAGTTTATTGTACCTAATACACTTTCTTAAATGTTCTAATAGGGATTATGCTCAGTCTTGTCCACCCCACAAAGAATCATGGATTCCAACCTGAGATTTGATATGCTCCACACCAAGCCACCTGAAGGTCCTTATCTGTCTTTTAGAGGTAAGGTGGTGCTACATTAGATATGAAATGACTGCCATAATAACAGAAGTCCTATACATTAAAAATGTTTATGTTTTCTATAGAAATTTTCAGAGAAAGTGAGACATTATCTTTTATGCATAGTAATGTACATTTATTTGAATTGCTCTCCAAACTTATTATTAAATATTTCTACACAGTCACAGTGATGCTCATTTTAAGGTATTGAATTATAGCAAATTTAAATTAGTTAGAAATTCATTTCATAACACTTTATTAATGTTAATGAGAATGGACAAGTAGACTGTTTTCAACAGAGTGATGATTGACAAAGTGTTGTCCAAGTGAATTAAAGTTTTATAAATCTTTCCTGGAGAGGTTAATTAACTAATTTAAAAAATAAATTATAGATATCTGAGGATGCAAAACACAAAAATGTAAAACACAGCTATCAATCAAGATGCAAATAAAAGAACAGACACATTTTAATAAAGCAATTCTATTTCTCAGGTTAAAAGCATTCCTCGCGCATTTTGATTTGGTGTTGCTAAAGTGATATCACTATACACATACTGTACAGTATGTATACACTCAAGAACACACATGCAGAGACATGCTGACCTGCACATACACTACTGTGTAAACATTTTAGGCAGGTGTGAAAAATGCTGTAAGATAAAAATGCTTTCAGTAATAGAATTGTTAATACAGTTTTTTTTTTCAATTAACAAAATGGAAAGTGAATGAACTAAAGAGAAATCCAAATCAGATCAATATTAGGCATGACCACTCTTTGCCTTCAAAACAGAATCAAATCTTCTACATACACTTGCACACAGTTTTTAACAGAACTCGGCAGGTACATTGGTCCAAACATCTTTGAGAACTAACCACAAATCTGTGGATATAGACTGCCTCAAATCCTTCTGTTTCTTTATGCAATCATAGACTCAATGCTGTTAAGATCAGGGCTCTGTGGGGTCAAAACTTCACTTCCAGGACTCCTTGTTCTTCTTTAGACTGAAGACTTTTAATTATATTGCTTGTATGTTTAGAGTTGGTGACCTGCTGCAGAATAAATATGGGGACAATCACATGCCTCCCTGATGGTATGGCATGATGGATAATTACACTGTTCAACAAATTTTTTATTTTTTGCCAGTTTTGGAAACAAAAGGATCCATTTCTTAATGAATTTCACATTCTGAGTTCAAATATAACAATGAAATTTGTCAATTGGCTCTAGTTTTTCTGTAAACAGAACGTTTTCTACTATAGGCGTAATGACTACATAATGCACAATAATTATATAGATAGATGTCTTTCCACAAATATAAAGCAAGTGATATTGACTACATAACAAAGCCTAAATGGCATAATCTATTGCATAGGATTACCAAGAAAAATTATAGCCATAAGCTAAGTTGAATCATTTTAATACTTAGGATTCTCACTAGTTTTGTCTTCAGTTTGTGTCGGTTTTGCTTCTCTTGGCTTTTCTCTTGTATTCGAGGAAAGGGCTATCTCTTACAACTGCACGTGACTACACGCTTCAGGTTCTTCCTCACTTGACTCAACCACAAAGGATTCTGGTGCTTTAGGAATTGGTAGCCCCTCTCCATGAGGAACTGGACGTATTGCCGATGAATATTTGGATAGTGCACAGATAACTTTTCTTCTTATTTAGCCCTTTTACAATTGGAGGCACCATACAAAAGTAACAATTACTAATATGATCTGTTGGCGGGGGGGGGGGGGGGGGGGGGGGGGGGGTCTCTCCAAATCATTGGCACAGCGAAAGGCATAGATGCCTTTTTTCCATTCAACCATTGCTCCAGTGCCGTCCCACAAGAATTGCAGCATATATGTGGTGCCCAGCTCTTGTCCTGGTCTCCTATCTTGCAGCCAAAATACAAGTTGTAGGCTTTCTTAATCATTCCTGTTATCCTCCTTTTTTGTGAGATAAAAGTTATTTCACTGCAGATATAGCAGAAATTATCTGCTATTATTCACACAAGTTCGAGGCATTACTGAGTGCAATATATAAGCATAAAACGAAATGTAAAGACCTGTCGAACTACAATCAGCTACAGATACTGCAGCTTTTTATGCAGTGAAGTGATTATTAAAGGCTAATATTGCATCATCTCAGTATACATGCAATTTTCTATTGTCACCAGTATCAATTGCGCAATATGCAGCTGAAGTTCATCATAATTTTGCTTACGTCATTAGATGGGTGAACAATATATCATGGAAACTAGAGCCAATCAACATTTTTTTTAGGGTCATTTTCGTTTTCAGCACCCCCAAAATTTTAAGATTAGCTAATTTTATGACTTTTTAACTGTTGAACAGTGTTATCTGTCTGTATTTCGTGACAGCACACCCATGATCCTGAATAAATCTCAAACTCTGTTTGCTATAATGCAGCCCCAAACTTGCAATGAACCTCCCCCATGCTTTACTATTGCCTGCAGGCACTCATTATTGTACCTCTCTCCAGCCCTTTGGTGAACAAACTGCCTCCTACTACAGACAAATATTTAAACATTTGACTTATCATTCCAGAGCACCTGCTGCCATTTTTCTGTACCCCAGATCCTATGTTTTTGTGCATAGTTGAGTCACACACCATGGTTTCCACATCGGAGGCATGGCATTATGGCTGCAATTAGTCCATGAAGACTACTCCTGACTTTTGTGGACAGTAGATAGGTATTCCTGGGTCCCACTTGTTTCCTCCAGTTCTGTGCTGATGGCACTGCTGGACATCTCCTCTGATGTTGAAGGGAAGTAAGCATGATGTGTCTTTCATCTGCTCGATTAAGTTTCCTTGGCCAACCACTACGTCTCCGATACTTAACATTTGCCCATTTTTTTTTTGCTTATTCAAAAGAGCTTGAACAGCACATCTTAAAACCCCAGCCTGCTTTCAAATCTTTGCCTGGGGGATACCTTGCTGACATAATATAGCTACCTTGTGTCTTGTTGCTGTGCACAGTCTTGTCATGGCGTATGACTTGTGAAATGAAACTGTCTTCCACAAACTCACCTTAGTAGCAGAGTTTGGCTGTTCCTCAGCCAGTTTTAAGCTACCTACACAGCAGTTTCTGTTTCAGTTAATGGCTGTGTTTTTAACCTACATATGAAATTGATGATCATTAGCACCTGCTTGGTAGAATTAGTTAATCATACATTTGATTCTAATCTTACAAAATCCCTGAATTTGTGCAAGTGTACAAAGTGTGCAAGCGTAAGAATTGATGCTGTTTGAAGCCAAAGTGTAGTCACCCCAAATATTGATTTAATTTAGATTTTTCTTCTGTTCACTCAATTTGCATTTTGCAAACATATATATATATAAAACACTCTTACTTTACAGCATTCCTTCGCACCTGCCTAAAAAAATTTTCTACTGTACATTTACACATTTTTTTTTAAATGCTGCAGACCCTTTGGAGGAGAACCTATTATTGTTTTGGGTACTTTATACTGAACTTTTTTTAAAAGTAAATGTTTACAACTGATTTTTTTATATATTTTTTCTTTGTTAAGGCCCTATCTGTTTACTTGATACAATAGCCATGGTTCAAGGTATTGTACTTATTAGTT